TCCGAAGGAGTACCATACACTTCACCTAATATTATGAGCGACCCGAAGGCCACCGACACACAACGCGGAAGAGAAGTTCTCAACTCTGAAGATACGCGTCAGAAGCAGGATGGTATTCAAAGAGAAGTAACGAACCGAAGGAATTAATCTGGTGGCTTTCGGGGGGTTGGCTCGAGGATTCACTTCCGTGGGTTCACGAAGAGGAACCGTTGGTCGCGATAACTGGTACTGGAGAATTCTGTCCTCCGTAGAACGGTTGACGCTGTTGGCACTAACACTGTTACTTCCATCAGGCCCCGATATAGTTGAGGCATTATGGGTTTCGTTGACTGAATCGGCCATCAGGGATGATTGGCTCAGCATGAACTGCGCGCGGTTTATGTCCATGGCTTGTCTGTTGGGGATAAATCTGATACAGGAGAAGGATTAAAAAGAAGACAAGGTCAACATACCTCCCACCATCCGCATCCGAAGCAAGGGGTCGTTGAAAGCAACGGGACGGGGTGTGTTTGCGAGTCTTGTTCTCCAGACCCTCATGCATCACAGAACTTGACTTAGAACTTCCTATTGACCTACAAAGCCATCATTAATGTACAACGCACATGGACAAACCGTGAAGACTTGCTGCTGCTAGTGCCCATTAAGAGAGACGTGGGCGTAGCGTTAAAAGTCTGTGAACTGTTAAGGACCCGGCAGAGAGAACCATCTTTAGTTTTTACATCATTGAGTGTCTTTGAGAAGGCGGATTGCATTACGTCGAACGAGATCCAAAGCAGTCTACAAAATAGAAGTCTCATCAAAAGACCTGATATTAATAATAATCACCATCAAAAAGATACCAGCCTGAAGTGTAGGCTGTGTACGAGATAAATGTCTGGGCATGAAAAACGGTGAGGTTTTTGATTCACAGGGTAAATGCCGTTATTTTGGGTCGGAATTATCCGAACAATTAAGATAAATTTGAGTTGACCCAATTGTAAAAAACTCGAGGCGTTAGGCGGGATTTGAACCCGCGTATCAGAGATAAAGATAAAGGTGAAAGCGATCACCGGGTCGAGTAAACTTTTGAGGCCCTCGCCCTACTGTGTGAACACCGTTGTAATATGTGCGAGATCAGTTTAAGGGCTGAGCTCCATGCACAGGAAAGCTCCTCGCGATAACACACTTGTACGGATGTAGGGCATAACCAGTGCGCTCAGAAGATTTTACTG